TCTTTCCCTTGGAATTATGGAGCTATTAGGAGTAAGTCTAGGAGTTGGAAGAGAATATTTTAGAGATTTCTTCGAAGGAAACGATTCAATAATGAGACTGAATTACTACCCTCCTTGCCAAAAGCCGGATTTAACTCTTGGCACTGGGCCTCATTGTGATCCCACATCCTTAACAATCCTCCATCAAGATCATGTCGGTGGCCTTCAAGTGTTCGTCGATGAAAAATGGCACTCCGTCAGTCCTGATCCGGAAGCATTCGTCGTCAACATCGGTGACACATTCACGGTAAGATCATCAAAAAACAACTAGGTTAGTCAAAACCCTTTCTACTTGTTTCCTCCTACGTCACATAAAGAGAGTCAATCTTACTCTTTCGAGGCTATCCCAAAACAGTACGTGTCTAATCAAAGAATTACTGTACGATTAATATGACAAACTAATAAACTTTGTGTTGTTTCAGGCTCTATCAAATGGCATTTTCAAGAGTTGCTTGCATAGAGCGGTGGTAAATAATGTAACAGTGAGGAAATCCCTTGCTTTCTTTCTCTGTCCAAAACTGGATAAGGTAGTGAAGCCACCAAATACCTTGATCGACTCTAAAAATCCGAGGGCATATCCGGACTTCACATGGCCAACTTTGTCAGAATTCACACAGAAATATTATAGGGCCGACATGAAAACCCTAGATGTCTTCACAACCTGGCTTCAACAAAAAAACAATTGAGAGGGTGCCAAAAATATATTTTTTTCCTGTTAATTAGGCCAAGGAAAGTGAGATTATAGGAGTGGACAATGCTAGGTGCAGCTGTGAAGGAGGGACTTGGTTCTTCATGGTGTGTATTTAGAAGAAAAAGGCAACAGAAGAACCAAAAAAAGAGGCCAGCACTGTAATTTGCTGCTAGTGTGTTAGTGTTGGCGAGAATATTCATATCAATGCATGTAAGGAGCAAATTGTAGGAATAAAGATTTGAAATGGGCTCCATGCATTTCTTCGTATTGTTATGCTATTTTCATTTTGTTAACGCGACATAGATTCTGTGTACTTGTGTGCTTGGCCACCTCCAAATTCTGGTAGCCTCGATTATCTTTCTATAAGGAACATAACAAGTTGGTTTCTTATGCTTTGTTTGTTCCTTCATTTGTTGCTCTCTCTTGTTTCATGCAACAGTTCTTATGCTTCCTTTCCTCTATTTGTTCATCTGATATAACTTAGGTTCTTATCTTTGTAGCCTTTTTCTTAATAAAATTTCAACTATTAACAAAAAGAAGAAGAAGAAGAAGAAGGAACATAACAATATTCAGTAATTAGATTCCCAGACGAAAATCTGCGCTGATAGTACAAAGTCTAAAGTACTGTATTTTTTTTTTTGGGTAAGCAGTGATCTAAAGTACTGTATTAATTGATGACAAGGTATATAGTACACAGCAATGTTCAAATTCGATGCTTTCAACCATAATCTTAGTGGTAATGGGGCTTGCATTCAATAAAAACCAATGCTCTGAAGGCCTATTTTCAGAACATTCAATCAAAAAATTAGGTTATATGTTTCTTTGAAAAAATGTTATGCGTTGACGTTCCATTTGCTAAATTTATTTTAATTTAGGGAAATAATTGGCTGCCAATGCACTCTTAATTATACAGTAACATACTAACATCCCAGTTCAGTTTTCCATCTCACAGCTGCTTCAAATTTTTGAAAAGATCGAAGTAGAGAAATAGGCAATGGTAGAGGGTTACTCTCAATAACACAGGTAATTCAAGACACATTAGATCTTCAATGCAACAGTAAAACTAGAAACTGATACGGCCATTATTAGTAGGATCCAAGGCATGCATTAACTACATTCAACCTCTTATCGTGAGTGCTTGGGTCATGGTTTTAAATCGTGGAATTTTTTCATCAAAAGGCCGACCGTTATTTAAAACAATGGCTTGGATATATTTGAGCTATCCCTCTGATCAACAATGATATTTAGGACTCAAATTGATAGTCATTCGACTGATAATTGTCTCTTTTAAACTTGAAATATTTCCTCATTTTAGATATTGAAGGTAAAACTATTGTGGCCATATATACCTTTAATTATTCACTTCTACAGTCTAGTTTTTTTTTTTGCCCTTTTAAAAAAAACAATGGTCTTAATATTGAGATTTTCAACATTGATTATCATGAAATAATTCAAAATAGGATATGTCAAGTCTTATGTCATTAACATGCAAATAATTATTACTAAAATAGAATACAAAATCGATTAAAGTTACAAAATCAACAATGATGTATTGATTCGTGTCAGTGTCAGAAAACCAAATTGCAGTAGAAACATTCCTAACAACAAAATGAGCAGAAGGCTACTAGGTACCGTTGCAAAACTATCATTCAACATTGTTTTTTTTATAAATAAAAAAATCTTTGTGATTTTATTTTATTTTATTTATATCGGATTATCTTAATCTCATGATATGAATCACAATTGTTAAGGGTTAACCTGCGTTAGCTCACTCCTTATTACCCGAGTTACATATCTATCATACTAACTTAGATTAACTTAGACTAATTGTTTTTTATACTTTACGATTCAATTTCATTATTTTATATTTAATTGGTTGAAGATTAAATTATATTATTTTTCTCCTTATGAAAAAAAAGTTTTTTTCTTGGATTATCATGATCATTTTTAATTTTTGAACTGTTTATTATCATTGTCTATTTTCTTATAATCTAATTACAATAAAACTAATTTATTTGACTCACTTGAATCTTTAATTTTGAGTAATTGATTTTTTTCTTTAAAAACTTACATGTGACATTTAAATATCATTTAAAAAAAATTGTCTCTTAACATAGCACATGTCGACATCTAGTGTGTATTTGGATTAAATGTAAAAAAAGTTTCTATGTGCTTTCATGATTTCTGAAATTTTTTTGCAATTTAACTTTCAATCTAAGAGGAACTTTAATGAGATTTGATATAGCCATTGGTTTGAATTGAAAATTGAAATTTCAGTTCAATAAGGAGAGGAGTGAAAGCTAATCTCATTATAAAGCTCAATTATTGACATATTAATTAATACCCGAAAACTAATAGTTTTTTACTACTATCGTTATGTGATGTAAATTAGCTGACGAATCATAGTGTAACTGATAGAACATATAAACTTTTCTCTTTTTGGCAAGATATGTTAAATGCTGTCTTTGTTCTTCTTCTTTTTTTAATGCGTACAACAAAAGAACCTTACAAACCCGACAAAAATTCTCATTATTCAAGTTTACTTTCATCCAAGGTTTCATTTAAATGAAGAAAGTTGGGTATAGCAAGTTAATTATCACATGCAAAATTGAGGGCTTGAAATTTGGGAGAAAAAAGTTGTTCTTAACTTATCGAAGTTGTCCTTTTGCCCTAAATATCATTCTAGCTTTATTCGTTTTTTGTCATTATTTAATCATAGAAGACTTAATAAGGAGGTCAGCTAAATTAACAGGGTTTGGGTGAAGTAAGCAACTGGTGGAACCTAGCCAGCTATTCTTCACTCCCTGGAATAATTGAGAGTTTCAAAGGCCAGTTCTGGGCTATAATTCGCTATTGATTTTCAACCTTAAGGATGCCAACTGTGAATTGAACTTTAAAAAATGAATCAAAACAAAACTAGTACTGGCACTACACTCAATAAGCTCGCAATCAATGTTTTCTAGTGCACAATATTGTAGTAGCACTAGAGCTGTACACCTAACATGTGTGTGTTAGTGTGTTTATATAGAAAGTTGGTTGGATTGCTCTCCAATATATATAATATATATAGCTTGTTTGAAAGTGACTTTAGTTTTATCCTCACTCAGTTTTGTCCTCTAGGGCTCTTAATTAGTATCCACTTGATCACGCCACCTTAGTATAAGCAAGTGGGAGCCTATCTTGCTTGTCATTAGTATAAGCAAGTGTTATGCTGGTGTCCATACTAGATGTGTTGCTGTTTTTTCTTTTTCTTTTTTGTCGTGATGGGCAGCTCTCCATGTTTTAAAATCTCACCTCACTCTTTTTGAAGGTTTGAATTTGAAATTAATCATAAAGTTGTCCTCTTCCTATTTGAAACAGACTTGGCTACTTGTTTCTGGTTTAAGTCATATGATGCGTGGAATCCAATAATTCAAACAACGAGAATCTGTCATATTTGAAGTGTATATATGGTTTAATTAATATTGATGTAAATCCTATCATGGTTCCTTTGTTGATTTACATGTAGAAACTAGATCATGTGAATTTTTAAAATTATTGGGAAAAAGAATGGTGGATGATACTTAGAATGAAAAGCCGAATAGGAATTATAGGATTACCTTGTAGATACATTTACTTGCATAGGATCATAATTCTGTGGAGTGCATTATATGTTTGTTATTGTATTCAACCTTACACATTCAAATATAAAAAAGGGTTGTTATCTATTGTGCAACCTCCTAATATATTCAGAAATCTTAGTTTCTATAATCTCTAACTTGCTATTAGAGCCCTACTGTAACAATAACTCTTATGGATCCAAATCCAACACAATTTACACAGTTTTCTATCATATTTGATGCATTTACTGTGGCTGCTATGCTAGTTCCTCCTCCTGGCTTCATTGCACCATCTATTATCCAATCTCTTAGTTATAGTTATGATGTACCCCTGCATCGTTAGTGATATCTGCAACTCCTGGTATGCCACGTCTTCCCTTAACAACATCAGCTACTCAAAATTTTATTGCTTCAATTAAAATCAACATATATTTTAGTGGTGTTTCTATGGTCTCTCTCTCTTTTTTTTTTTATTTATGTGGGGTGTCAGGGCCAGTTTACGCGCACCACGATTAATCCCCACGGTCCACTGAATACCCTGCAAACCTAGTAGGCATGTAAGGCACCGCGAGGGTGACAGGCATGCACGCTAGGGCTCGAACCCATGTGCTGTGGAAAGAGACAAGCCCTTTCCACCGCTAGGCCAAGCCCCTCGGTTCTGTGATCTCTCTCTTAAATACTCATTAGATTATCTCTTTAAAACTGATAAAAAACAATTATTTGTACTAGATAATACAAATGAAACCTTATTTTTTGAGTTAGGGAGTGTGTATGCTTATTGATGAATTTTATTCTTGCCCTACACCTTATTTTTTGAGTTAGGGAGTGTGTATGCTTATTGATGAATTTTATTCTTGCCCTACCTCGGTTCTGTGATCTCTCTCTTAAATACTCATTAGATTATCTCTTTAAAACTGATAAAAAACAATTATTTGTACTAGATAATACAAATGAAACCTTATTTTTTGAGTTAGGGAGTGTGTATGCTTATTGATGAATTTTATTCTTGCCTTACACCTTATTTTTTGAGTTAGGGAGTGTATATGTTTCCATTGATATATGATTGGGTTGATAGTATTGATAATAAAAATTTCACTAGTGGCTACATAGTGTATTTCAACAATACCTCTATTTTATGGAAATCATGGATATAATAAAGAGTGCCTCAATTATCAACTAAAGTAGAATATAAGGTTTTTGTTGATAATACTATTGAGATTTTATTGCTATGCTCTTTGCTTTCATATCTTTAGGTTTCTCCTGCTTTTATTGGAAACAACTCTTTATTGATAGTACTTTGATGTGATAATTTAGTTGTAACTTATTTATCTATTAATCTTATTTTTATTACTCATACTAAGCATGTTGGAGTTGACTATCATTTTTTGCATGATAGGATTGCTAAAAAGGATATTCAAGTTTGGTTCTTTTCATTGTATGATCAATTAGCATATATCTTTAGTAAGCTTTTTCCTTATGCTTCTCTTATCTATTTTTGATTTAAACTTCATGTGGACTTCTTACCTTCATCTTAAAAAGACATATTATAAAAAACCTAATAGGAATAAAATACTACCTTGTATATACATATACTTACCTTGTATAGAATCATAATCATGTGTTGTGTATTATATGCTTGTTATTGTATTCAACCTTACACGTGTAAATATAAGAGGTAAGTTGTTGTCTATTATACAACCTCCTAATATATTCATAAACCTAGTCTATTATACAACCTCCTAATTA